GCGCAACTGACCGACACGGCGAGACGGGGCTGGAATACCCGAGTGCATCACAGGCCAGCAGTCCAAACAGGTATGAGCCAGCGGCTTGCTGGATGACCGAAGAAGCCACGATCACGGAGGAGAAATGGAGGGTTCTGAAACTCGACGTCACACAGGTTTGTTGCCGGGCCTTTTTTCAGTTCGGATATTGCCCCTCCCTCGCATGCACTCAATGTACTGGTTACGGCTGTGATCACAACTGATCTAGCCGGCCTCGATTATGCTTCGTAGGGTACTTCCCAACACGTAACGATACGTGGCAACAGAGCTGGACGGTTCAACCCATTTTTTTCGCCAACATCGGAGGCCGAAAACTGAAGGCCTAAGAACCACTTCCATATCCTGACGGACTAAGTCGAGCCAGCCGACCCCCTCTTCGACGTCTCCAATTGGGTAACGGTGGCGGATCGAGGGCGGTAACACTGAGCTCGTCAGGTTAATGACGAAGAACGTGTCCAAACCACCTCATTTTTCTTTCTTGGATGGCCTGGGATATTCTTGCAATGCTGTCGCAGCAAGTGCGGACTGTCTCATTTGAGAGGACGTCAGTATATTTTACTCAAAAAGATGGTCCTCAGCAGTAGTGGTCAAATACCTCCAGTTTCTGCTTATCTTCCACGCGCATAGCCCAGCATTCGCAGCCGTATAGAAGAACAGACGGGACAAATGCCCGGTACATGCCGGCCTTTGTGGTAAAAGAAGTATCGCGTCGGGTCCATAGGCATTTTCGAAGACTGGATAAAACTCGTCGAGCTACATCAATTCGGGAGACAATGACATTCTTATTGTGTCCATTCGGCAGCAACTTCGCTCCGAGGTATTTGAAACTGCATACTTCATCAAGTTGATAGTAAATTATTTCGATAAGGCGCCTCCTCTTGGGCAGGGATGCAGCATGATAACATTTTGGTCTTCTCAGCGAAGTTGGAGTTCGCAATCCAAGCATGGAAACCCTGGACTGCGAAAGACCT